TTGCAAAACCTAAACCCTAAATATAAGCCACATGATTCATTCGATTCTATTCACCATTATCCTGTATTAGTAGACAAGTTGAACTAGTACTGGAAACGGAGACGACCCAGGGGGCATATGAATATATTATATCACTACAATAGTATGTCATTTTGGAATCCTGCTGGCCGTGTGGCGTGTGCCGCAACCGTCTTGTTGCCCACTTCCGTCGTCTTGGGCCTTGCTTATAACTCGCGCGATTCCCTTGGATCCATGGTTCTCGTCACCCGACCACAACGGATTGCCTTGATGATTCATGCCCTGTACTTTGTCTACTGCGTCTTTGCTTTTGAAGCCCTCATTGACATAGATCCCATGTCCACCACGGGAACCGTGCCCGATCAACCCGACAATTTATTCTGGCAAATGACTTGTTTGTCGGGCGAAGTCTTTTTTGTGGCCGCCACGGCCCTGGCGTTGATCGCCACCCAGCCAGCAGTGCCCCGATGGTCGCTGTTGGTGCCCATTGCGCAGGTATCCTACAACCTTAAAAACTCCTTGATTTGGTGTGTGTTGTATCCCCAGTTTTCTCCCGTCGGACAGCCGATCGAATTGATGAAAACAGATGCCGTTTGCATTGCCTTGCTGACCATCGTGTACCTCCATCATTTCTTTACGGCGCCAACAAGTGCAAGTAGTGCAGGAACGACTGGTGTTGGGAAACACGATAAATCAAAATAAATACAATGTCTATGCCGATTACGGTACCGATGTGCAGATATCCCAATTTCGCAGGTGATTTCCGCGATCGATCGACCGAAAAGGGCTCGACAATGGTGTTTCAGCGGCGGTCGGCAGTGCAGCAGAGAAAACAACAAATAGATATGAGTTTTGCTTTCTGTGCCGAACGGAAGAAAACCGGAGACTATCCCTTGCTCTTCAAAATTATCCAACTTGACTGTCATGGGCCGAGAACTGACTGCCAGCCCTTGGTCCATAGAAGTCATGAGGGATGGTTTTCTGCACCGGAGACGGTCTGCTTGAGTGAGGCTTGATAGCAGAGGTGCGAGGATTCGATTCCCAATCGATCGATTAGCATGACTGCCGCCGATCACTCCTCTACCGGCAGCTACCGTACTATCATAGTAGAGAGGGATCCAACAGTTCGTTCAAAAGAGGATCGTCGAAAGAGGATTGGATCAACCCTTCGCCGAGTACAAGGACAGTGTAGTCCATTCACTCTCTCAATATTGTATCTCCTCTCCACGTTCAGTCAAAACAGCACTATCATCAGCCAAGACATGGACAGCGAGGATTGCGTCGAAGCTACGGCAACAACTGAAGCAACCTGGAGCAAAAACAGGAGCTACCACTGGAGCAGCCAGCATGGCCCCTCTACGCTATCAGACTTGTGCAAGGCGATGGCCAAGGACGAAGGATAGTTCTATGTTTGCTTGATGAAACGCTACGATCAACGTCGGATGCGAGGATCATTGAATACTTGGTGAACAAGATCAGCTCCACTGATTTTGGCATTCATCCTTGCAGGTTGGACTGGATGATAGAAGAAAGTCATGTTTACAGGGTCTTTAATAGCAATATGACCCATACCAGTGCTCAAAGTAAGCCTGCGCAATGAATTTTCAATAGCTACATTTTGAAAACCACAGCCCACCTTCTTCCTGTCTTTCCACCTGCTCTTCGGTCACTTGCATGTTCTAGAAAGCCGTACAGAACCATTCTACCAATGTCGCTCCCCTCTCTTAGCACTCATTGTGGATCAATAATTGTTGGCTGTGTTGCAGATTGCAGATTTTTGACGCCCAGGCTCGTTCTCTCTCAAGTTCTTTGCAGATTATACACGTACCAGTAAAGGCAGTCACGAGGCTGGAACACTCTTGCAAATGTCGAGAGTCTGTTGCGTCCCTTGCATGCAGCAGAGCTGCGCCCCAATCAGTTTGGTGATAAAGTTTCCCGTTGTGACTTCAAAAGCCATGGGTCCTGGAATATCACTTGAAGACACACTTTCAAAGGCAAAGTTATCTCGATACCAATCCACAGTTGTCGCCAATGTCAGCAAGTAGATACTGGTCGGCAAATAGCCATCCTCTACAATTCGGTTCCGCAGGATTCGCTTCACCAGTTCAGAACCAATCCCTTGTCCCCGAAAGGAAGACTCCACATAGACAGATGACAGCTCCCACAACTGTTCGTTTTGATCCAGATCCAGCGATCCACGCCCAGAGCCAAACTTGGACGGATCTCGTCGCGAAGATGTCAACTCTCCCAATGGTTTGATTTGTGCCCAGCCAATCACATTGTTGCTAGTATCTGTTGCCACAACGAAACGTTCGATCTTTACTCCCAACGGATTCATCAGCTCTTTGGCCAGTGCGGTTGCAATCTTAAGCTCATCGCTCTTTTGACCCTGGCGATAGAAGATGCTAGTGGAGGAAAAGCCGCCAACTCTACTAGTTGCTGCTGTCAATAGCAGTAAGGCCAAAATGAAGGCGTTTCCAGGCATGTTTATATGCTTTCTCATATGCATTAGTGGTCTCTTTAGCACTGACAAGTCAAGCCTTCTTCTTGCTGTAGTTTTCAATGACGCTCCAACAGATTTTGGCCCTCCAAAAGGAAGTCGTTGAAACAGAATCTTTTGGATCTTTGTTTAAACCAGCAGAGCTGAACTTACCACAAATTTCTCCAAGGATAAATGTCTTCCCTGGTTCTGCCGCAGCCTTTCTAATTTCAAGCCAGGAACGTCTCCCCTCTGATGAATTATGATGAATTTGCTAGAATGTGATGATTTGGTGATGAATTTAATCATTCATCATGAATTAATGATGAAAGTAAGTATATTGGTGATGAATTCATCATGAATATTTGAATTAATGATCAATTCATCATGAATTGGTTATGAAATTTACTGAAAATATAGCACGTATTTGTGTTGAAACATGATGAATTGTAATGAAAATAATGGAATTGGTGATGAATTTAATTATTCATGATGAATTAATGATGAAAGTGTTGAAGTTGATGATGAATTCATCATGAGCGATTTGAGTAATGATCAATTCAAGTTGAGATTTTTCTGTTAAATTCGCCAAAAGTCAGTAAAGGGGAGACGTTCCAGTCTCTCTTTTCTTATTCTACTCGTACTACCAGAGCGGTACCGCAGGCTGAACTGGACTTAGCTTTGTTGGCAATCAATCCTTGACGCAAGAGCTCGCCTACGTTA